GTTTCTTTTATAAAATTCGGGAATACTTCACCGCTTGCGCTGGTAAACTGGTTCGCGGACCATAACGAGTGACCAAACCGTATACAATAATTCGCCTTCTTTTTGAATTCATCTCTAGATATACCAATTACTAAGAAGTAATAAATTTATTACTTGTTTTGCCTGTGTTATATTATCAATATACTTAAAACTGATTTCGAAACTTACTATTAAAAATATCAATGTATTTAAAAACTGACAAAATATTGCAATTTGGGGCCAGATATTGTCGACGTGCGTGGCGACATGATTCCAGCGCAAGAGGTTGAAGATTCGCAGTTGCCTGTGTTATATTATCAATATACTTAAAACTGATTTTGAAACTTACTATTACAAATATCAATGTACTTAAAAACTGAGAAAATATTGCAATTTTGGGCCAGATATTCTCAACGTGCGTGGCGACATGATTCCAGCGCAAGAGGTTGGAAATTCGCGGTTGCCTGTGTTATATTATCAATATACTTAAAACTGATTTTGAAACTTACTATTACAAATATCAATGTACTTAAAAACTGACAAAATATTGCAATTTGGGGCCAGATATTGTCGACGTGCGTGGCGACATGATTCCAGCGCAAGAGGTTGAAGATTCGCGGTTGCCTGTGTTATATTATCAATATACTTAAAACTGATTTTGAAACTTACTGTTACAAATATCAGTATACTTAAAAACTGAGAAAATATTGCAATTTGGGGCCAGATATTCTCGACGTGCGTGGCGACGTGATTCCAGCGCAAGAGGTTAAGGATTCGCGGTCTACTGAAAATATTTATTCCATTCTCCGTGCGCAGTTGTATCCGCCACAGAGCGATAGCGAAATACAAGAATGGTAACTGAAGGAGTTAATTTATGACGTTCACCGTATCACGTTCCGCGACTATACGGACGTACGTATCTATGCCAAAGCAACGAAAATCGTAATATCGCGTTTCCCCCGGTTCGCGTTTCACCGGCTCGGTGTACGGCTCATTCTCTCGTACGTTATAATTAGTGGTCTAATGACTAGCACTCAGAGAGGGCGACGGGTAATTAAAACAATTCGCCCGCCTTGTCTCTCTCCCTCTCTCCGTCTCTCTGCCTCGTCCTCTTTCTTTCCGGCCGCTCGCTTCGTTCATACTGTTCGTCAGCTCGCGGGCTCGAGAGGCGACGCAAACTTGCCAAGAATTTTAGCGGCCGCGATATTTCAATTAGCATCCGGGGCTCATTTAAGCGGCAGTGAAAACGGCTGTTGCCGCGTTGCTCGCGTTACCGTTTGTTGCGAGGCACACTCTGAAGATGAGGTGAGAGGTTTTGACGGACAATGAGAAAGAAAAGAACAGGGATAGGCAGAACTGGACAAAGAGAAAAGTGGAGAAAGATAGATTCAAGGGATGGTTGCTGCGATATATTCTGTAAAAAGGACTGGATAGAGAAAGACAAAGAAAGAAAACCGAGTAGAGAGGTAATTGTTGCAAGACATTTTATTGTATAAGATGAGGTGAGATGACTGGGTAAAGAGATACAGAAAGAAGAGAAGAGAGATGGGATACAATGGGGGTGGTTGCTACAAAATACTGAGATATTCTGCAAAGATGAGATGATAGAGAAAAGATAGACAGAGGGAATAGTCTAACGATGAAAGAAATTGAGACAGACAGAAGGGGTAGTTGCTAAACAGTTTATACGTCACAAGTATGTTACAATGAGGAATCGTGCATCGTTGGCGGACACCGGATGGCTTTGCTTCTTGTTGCGCGACGAATAGTTGCACTTCTTCCGCTTCCGCGACACTTCCTCCTCTCGTTTACATGCACGCTCGGTGTTCGCGCGGAAAGCACGGCGCACAGGCGCTGCTTAATGGGTCGCCAGCGTCGAGTCGCCACTCTCGCAACCCTTCGTAATTGGGGTAGTGAAGAGTCAAGTGGCATGAATTCCTCAGGGCGCATTCGCCTTCAAGATTTTTATTTTATTTAATTTCATTTCATTTCATTTCATTTCATTTCGCTTCATTTCGCTTCATTTCATTTCATTTCATTCCATTTCATTTCAGTCTTTATCGCGTACCGTGAAATTTGTTTATCAGAGTGATAAGAACGACGAAGAATTTTTCTCTGAGGATTTTAACTGTCTAAATAAACTTAATGGCTCGTTTAATTCTTTCGTCGATCTAGATTCAGGAGGAAAAATCATGAAAAATTCTAGGATACTTGCGAAACGTTGAGCCATTTATTATAAGTTAAAGGTTTGTGAAATCTTTTCGAAAATAGAAGATTAATGACGCAATTTAAGATCAAATTCTTCGAGCCACACGTTCTATTATCTGTATCGTTGGGCATGAAATGAAACCAACGCGGAATACTCGATTCTTACGTGTAAACCGATTGCAATTAAAACGATCCAAGGTTCTTCTTCAAAGAATTTTCTCACGATATATACGCGTTATTTTACAATATTTATCGTTTACAATATAAACTTACTAATAAATAAATTTACAGTTGCAATATAAACTTCTAAATGAATTTACTAATAAATTCATAGTTATTTTACAATATCTTTAATTTGTATCTTTCTACCACTTTATACGTTCTGTCGTTTCGCCGGTGAGTGACGAGCTCGTTCAGTTTGCGAGTTTTGTGATTAACGGGACATCTTCCGTGCAATCGGATCGGGTAAAATCGGCGATTTGTCGCGTCGTTAACGCGAAATGAACCCTGTCGATTTCGCTAGGAACACCGTTGGGAAAGAGAGAGAGGAGGGGGGGGAGAGGGACGGTGGCGCGTTCAATTATACATTAATCGAATTATTATTCCCAATTACGCGGCGGCTTCATTAAAGTTGGAACCGATTAAAATTCGAGCACGGTGAAACGCGAGCCTCGCGTGCAAAATTCGGAATATTCGACGATGGAGGAACAACTGAAACGAGACGGACACAATATTATATGGAACGAGATGAACGCGAGTGATAAATCGCTTTAATCACGCTTTAACAACACCGGTGAATAAGGTGGAAAATAACGGGCAGAGGGTAATTCTGTAAATAATTAACTGGCGACAGATACGTTTACGCATCAACAATGAGAGTTTTTTCAATTTCTCGACAACTGCGAATTTAACGAGAGGGGGACAACGTGTTCGAAACGTTGGAGTTTCAGATTGAAAGCTGACTCTCTCTCTCTCTCTCTCTCTCTCTCTCTCTCTCTCTCTTTCTGGAATTATTTACGCATTTATATGTACAAAATGCTTGAAATTTTTAACGATTTTTACCTTGCGACGTTATATCTTTTGTTTTCATACAAACAGGTACTCCAGCCCTCTTTCTAATTCGAAAAACATCAGCTCGTAACATAAAGTTATCAGAAAAAAAAAAAGAGAAAAATTAAAATATCGAAATTGAAGAAACAACAAAAATATGCGTATCATATTTTTGCTCGCTTGATGTGTTTTACGTTACGATATTGCGGGAACGATAAATGAACATTCCGATATTCAGAGGCCGGAATACCTTGCACGCTTCAGCAAGCACGTTCCTTCATCGTTCGCAGCCAGAATATTGGCAAAAGAGGAACGCGTTATGGCAAAAAGAAGCCGCGATCGCCTGGATGCTTACGTGGATCGTCAAATATGGTAAGGGCTGGCTTAACGCACCCTTACGAGGAGAACGAGTACAGATGCAGGTGTGCCATAACCGGTCGAGGGTGTTTACGACACCCTCCGGCCAGAACAGACTGACGGGGATTAAATTAAATCCACGCTGAATCGGCGGTAGCGTGGCCTATCTCTCTCTACCTCTTTCTCTCTGTCTCTCTCTCTCTCTCTTTCTCATTGGCTCAATTTTCGTCTCAACCGATGCCAACGGGCGTTACCTGTATCTGCCATCACATCGACCGGAAATTAAGGTCGCCCAACGAGCTGGAGAAGTCACGTGTCGCGCGTCACTCCACCGGAAAACCGCCAAGTGTTCCGGACAACTGGCGAACCACTCGATTCTTAATTCCGTGTTCATTCTTTCCGATACCGACGGTTGTATCCTTCAGATACAGCGTGGTAAAATTATTACGAGACACAAGTATGGAGATTTTTTTCTAAATGATGGAAGCGGAACAAAAGCGTTTGCACTCTGGATGGAAAATTGCCGGATATTCGAAAGTGTTGCATCGTTGCGAGGAAATATTATACAACTATTCAGTTGCTCGCGAGATATTCTAATGTTCAAAGTTCAATAAAATGACGAAAGAAAAATGAACAAAGTCTCAGAGGAAATTGTTCTCTAGAAAGATACTTGAATTTTCTTTGTTCGCTTCTTTAACTTAACATATATTTTGTTAATACCGACAACTAAGTTTCGTAATTGAATTACGATGTCTGATTAATTCAGATTGAAGTCCCCCTTCGAATTTATTTGCACAATGCTGTTATAAAAATGTTTCATCGGGTCCGTGAAAATCTGTCTGGTGCCGCAGCGTATCGATTAATGGACACCGTACCAGAGGTTACGACCGATTTAATTTTTATAACTATTTAATTTCCTCCCGTCCCCTGCGAATTTTCTCGCGTGCGCGTTGCGATAACGGTCAGTTTCCCATACGCGTGCCGCGAGATTGACGCGAGAGCCACCGATATAAATCACCGGCCGGACGATCAATCGAGAAAGCGAGAACGAACTCAATAAAACTCGAATTAAGTAATGTACACGCGTTCGATACGAGCGACGTCACGCTCGATGATTGATACAGTGTTCGAATAACGCGCCACGAGAAACGAAGAGAGACAGAGAGAGAGATAGATAGATAGATAGATAGAGAGAGGAGAGAGAGAGAGAGAGAGAGAGAGAGAGAGAAAAGCGAGTGACGCGCAGTGGGAAAAGGACAATCCGTTATCCGAGTTCAATTACGATCGAGCCAGCTAGCCCGGGCTCGTCGATCAGCCGTAAAACCATTTACCCTTTAATAAGGATCGTTTCTCCTTTCTGTTTTCAGACAGAGATAGCGAAGAGGTTAAACGCCATAATTGCTCAGATCCTGCCGTTCCTCTCCCAGGAACACCAACAACAAGTCGCTACCGCTGTTGACAGAGCCAAACAAGTGACCATGACCGAACTCAACGCCATTATCGGGGTGAGTGCACGCCAATGGAAGATAAATCACGCGTACGTGATACACGCGGCCGTGTCGTGAACGCGCGTACGTCCACGTCCGTCGATACGCGCGTACATATGTTCGTAAGTTTACACGGGCGCGCGCGAAAATTTCGTGGGTGTTGTTTCGAAACACGTTGGAGGGACGGTACACGGTGTCACCGAGTGTTAGTTCTATCACGTGTTATCAATAAAAACCTTGTCTCTTTTCGTAGCATTTCGAAATTTCACGGAGTTCGTGTGACTTTGTAAAATCAGTCCTTTGTGGTCAAACCGCCGTGGTGATTCACGTTGGATCACTGAATCTTGCCGATGGAGATTAGCGAGATTAAAGAGTTCGATTAAATGAAAAATTTCAAACCACGACCTTTAAACTGTTACGATCGATCAAGATTTCAGTTAGATGTCAATGGATATTTAATTTTATTCGAAATTTTACACCGCGATGAAAAAGATTGTAAAATCGCGTAAATTTTCTCGGGCAATATTCCAACAAAATTGGACAGATTGTTTCGATTCGAACCGGCGGGACAGAAAGCCGCGCGTTCACGAACGGGGAACAAAGCGAAGCGATAATAGTAAACGATTAATACAAACCGTAGATTAAGCTCGATTATATTTCGCTTATCACCGTGCATTATAATTGCGGATGAAAGAGAAACGGACCGCAACATATGAAAATACAGATGTACACGGGGGTTTCGCCCCACACGATTCGGTCTCCACGATTAAACTTACAAACAGTATATCGGCGCATATATGCGCATCGTGTGACGTGACATTTGTATTTGCCGCCGAAACTATCCAGCAATCGTTGCCAATAGCGTCGGGATCTGCTAATTAATTATTAAACGCGATCGACGAACAGGGAACAACAAACAAATCGAGGGACGAGACGAGCCGAAATTTCTCACGGACGATCGAAATTGAAACGATCTCGTCGTTTCTCCAAATGGGAAATCAATTTTTGTTGCGCCACGCTCGCGAATCGATATCGCCGCCCGAAAATGATTTGTGGACACGCCGGTGGAATGTATTTTTTTTTTTTTTCGTTTTTCGTTGCTTTTTGTCTCTCTTTCTCTCTCTCTTTTAATCTTTCGCTGTCTGTTTTTTTTTTTCTTTCTCTAGCGCGATCGGTTGTTATTTTCATTGCGCAGAGTTATCGAAACGATGGACAGATAAATTTCTGAATTGAAAACGATTGCAGGGCGAATAGAAGAGAGAGAGAGAGAGAGAGAGAGAGGCGGATCACCACTACACCGGGAGCAAAACGATCGCACCGTGAAATTTGTTACGAGCCCAGGCGAAATTTGTCGCCAACGAGACGAATAAAGTTATTCGTCGCAATTACGCGTTTTATTAGTCAACGATCGCCGGTGTCGTTGTTATTCGTCGGTCGGTGTCAAACTTTAGTTTATTGTCGGGCAAGATTTCACGTTCGCCAATATATACGAGATACATACAGGTATATATACGAGATACATATATGTATGTATATATGGGGGCTGGCTGGCTGTTCGAGGGTTTATGGGCTTTCAGTTTTAAAGCAAACCTTTATGAATATCGAATAACGTTTGATTCATATCCCGTTCATCACGGGGTGGGTACTTGTTTTATGAAATATTTGACACTCTCTCCTTCTCTTTCTGTCTGTCTGTCTGTCTGTTTTATCTGTGTTTTATCTATCTATCTATCTATCTATCTATATATATATATATATATATATATATATATATATATATATATATATATATATATATCGTATTTTGCGTGTTTGCGTTTCGCACAAAGTGTCTCTAATTTTCATATCCAATTTTCAATATTTACGACCCAGAGCATTAGCCGATCGATATAACAGCAATTACCGATACGTTATCCGTAAATACGTGACTGAAATATTTCTACGACACGGATCGCGCATTTAGCAGGGTAATCTCCGGCTTTTTAAATTTTTCAAGGATAGCCACGATATAAATACACGGCATTTAGGGCAAAAAGTGAACAATAAAAGCGCTATGTACATACACACGTTCTGAATCGAAATTCTCCACGTGAGTATCGGGGCGTCTCTTCTCGTATCTAGACTGCGATTCCTTGTGCATTTTTGCGAACACACATCAAATTGAAACGTCGCGCGAACACGAAAGCCAATATTTTCCTTTTTCCTTTTTTT